GCTGAGAGCGATATTACAGGTGAACAGTCTATGGATTTTTCAGTGGGCATGATACTACCCGGTTACCAAAGCCGAAGTAGGGAGTTGTCTTAGGGGACTCCACCCAAAGCAGCGTGGCGGTGCTGAGACTGAATTAGTCTGACTCCCAACCATTAACCTCTGAAGGCACTTAAATTGCCACCCGGCGTAACTCAATTGGTCACAGCGGTACACAAACCATCGCACTACGTTAAGGTCCAGTATCGTTGCGATGGACAAGTCTCGGTGCTTGGGTTTTGTGTATTATTTGGGTTCATAAACTACTTGGCTAGTTCAATTGCTTCCGGCTTCCTATTTTTCGCAAATGATGCCAAAATATGGTGCACTATCAGAGGACCGGACGACTACGAACGACTCCAGTGTGATCTAAACACTATTTCGAACTAGTTAGTTCGGAACGCCTAACCATTGAATGTAAGCAAAGGTCACGATTTTCAACTACGTCATTGACATGACTACATATATTCGCTTGGGGCACATGGATTGCAGACCAGCTCCCAGGAACATGACTTTGATGTGCTCGTACAGAGTGACCTCAACTATCCAAAACAGGCTGAGGTAGCTGCGAAAAGAGGCAACCAGCACGTCGGCATACTGCGAAGGGCATTCGGGAGATTTGACCCATCAATCTTCCCAAAGGTGTACAATTCCTACGTGCTCCCGCATGTTGAACACGCTATCCAAGCTTGGCAACCTTGGTTGAAGCGCGATCTGGAAGCGTTAGAGGCACCACAACGAAGAGTAACAAAGAATGCAAAAGACCTGCGTTATCACTCTTACCACCGAAGGCTGAAGTTGCTGGAAGTTTTCAGCGGACGCTATCGGAGGCTGCGCGGCGATCTCATATTATCGTATCAAATATTGTGTGACGCCCTCCACATATGAGTCCATTTGCTGTTTCGAAATACTGGTAGCTCGGGTTGATGAACCAATTGTTTAATTGTTCTCCGAGCTTGGCCAAGTTTGGAGAACAAATGAACAATAGATTATCAAGGTATTGTATATTTGCTGTTTTTTACTTGATTGCCAATAGTACCGTGTTGCAGCTCTGACTTGTTTTGTTGATTCCGGTGGAAACGCGTTAACTCAAAACTTCCAATCGGTTTGATGCATACAAACGTATACATCTCGATAGACGCTCGATAGATGACTCACATATATTTCACCCAAAGCATCCTACAGCATATGGCAAGCACATGCTTTTATCTTGTGATAAATCGTTGTTCATCATTCAATAAATTTGAGTGCGCGCGGTCGAATTCACCGGGATATTCGAAGGACAAAAACTACAAGTCCACCTAATTGGGATTTGGTTGCATTATGTAACCTGTCGAACATAATAGCGCATATTTCCCGTCTTATCCAGAAAGCGTACTCACAAAGGAACGGGTCGTTATATGGAGAAATACAAGTGGTGCAGTGTGTCGCCAATTCCTTTCCTAAGTATCATGAAGCTCGAGGCAGAAACAAGACATGTGGTGGTCCCATGCTTGGCATACTCAAAAAGAAATATTTAGATGGCATCACAGCCTCTTATATTTCGTGCCCTACTTTGTATCAGTGCTTTTCATCTTGGTGTTACGACTGTTCTAGAAGACAATAGGTAGGGCTTGATCTCCACAAGAGTTGACAAACCATTATAGGGTCACTACACAGGTGCCAATACTGACATCCCCAGAGATTCTAGGCCAGGTTGGTAGCACAAATGAAAGAAGCCCTTAACACACTTAAACGTTCTTCACTGTGAGGTCTAAAGTGCAGCGAGTTAATGCTTCTACGATGCATGCTACGCTTACAAGACACACCCACATAGGTTCCCTCATTTGGTTCCGACTCCATGTGAATAGTCTGGTGTATCAACTGAAACCCGAATTGCTTCCTTTTTCCTTTTATGCTTACCTTTGGTTTTATAATCCTTACTCCAATCTTTCCGCATGACCTTCATGCACTCACTCTTTTAGCTCTTACAACTAATTGCTTTTCGTCCTTTGTATTCATCCAAAATGACTTCAATTGTTCAAAACGGACTTGGGTACCTACAAGAAAAGGGCTAAACACATCGGTCTTTTGCGATGATTAATTTAGTTTTAATCTGTTCGTCATTTCGAGGACGTACATTTCTTACGTGAGCCTTCACTATGAATACGCTGTCCAAGCTTGGTAACCTTGTTTGAAGCGCGAAATCCAGCTGCTAGCGACACCACGACGCAGTGCAACAAAGAACGACAATTATCTACACAGTTTCTCTTGCTATCAACGACTAAAGTTTCTAGGAGTTTTCAGCGGACGTTCCTCTCTGCTACATGGCGGGCTCAAATTAATATACAAATACTGAGTGATCCCAAGCAGTAATGTCTTCATTTTCTGAATATCAGCCGCAATATCAGACCAAGAGATAATCTTGAACGCAGTCTCCGGGTTCACCTGATGTCGTTGCCAAGAGATGCTTGGTGATAGATGATGCTGTGCTCCAGTTCATCCTCGGTTCTACTCCGTTTTTTTGCATCATCAGTTGTTCCAACCACCTCATCACATGTTCAGCTACCCTCTGAGCTAACTGACGGTCAGTTCTGCCTATGTAAATGTAACCGCAACCGCAGGTGAACTGGTAAACAATGTAAGAGGCCGAACTGACTGAAGAGTTGCTCTGACGGTCATGAAGAACAAGGCTGCGCATAGTATGTATGGGTCGCAACTGGGCCGTCGCGTAGGGGCGCGTAATGGCGGACCGGAGTTTATGTCTGAGATCATTTGATACATGGTCTCATTTGAACGGCAACAGCAAATACACATCCTTTTTTCTCTGCTGTTAACACTGGTATTTTCTCCTAGGGAGGCTTGCTGTGGATCTGAATGAACTTCTCAAGATACCCATTTGACACCAAGTTTTTGAACAAAACTTCCTCAGCTTGCAACATTTCGGGGCTGCATATCCGTCTGGCTCTGTAAAAAAGCCATTTCACCAGGCCACGTTTGTATGCTACTGGGGCAATGCTGGAAAAATGAAGGTACTGCCCGCTCCAAGTTGCATTGCGATGAACCGTGCGCTGTAGTGTACCATCGGTCGGTCTCTTAATGAGTATATTCAAAAATGGCAGACTATGGTATTGCTCCAACTCATGGGACACCGATAGATTTGGATATGTTGAATTCAGAACTGTCGACAACCGCGCAAAATGTTCGTTGCTGGAAAAGATTGGATGTCGTCCACATACCGCTTGTACAACTTAGCTTCACCAATGCTGGCAGTAACTTGTCTTTCTATCAAGCCTAGAAAGATGTCTGCAAATACTGGTCCCAGGGGGCTACCCATGGCGACGCCGTCGATCTGTTTATATGCAATCCCTTCAAGTTCAAACCGTATATTTTCCGTGCATAATAGGATCATATACTTCAAATAGTCCAGCGGCAGACCAACAGACATGTTTTGACTCGCGCTGAAATCACACAACTTTTCAACTGTCTCACTTAGAGGTACGTTTGTGAATAGGGAGTCGAGGTCTATTGAGTACATGTGCTCCGCACCCAGCAACACGTGTTCCAGTGTCTCAACTAATGCAAAGGAATCCTTTAGGCAATACGTGGCCAGGAGTTTGCGTATCGGCTCCAAGGTTTTCGCTTGCCCCCGCGCAACGTTGTGATACGGTGAGTTGTTCATACACATAATCGGGCGCAGTGGGTTACCTGCTTTGTGCAATTTGGGAGCGCCCCTCATTATGGGTGCTTGAGTCCCGGTCGGTTTCAACCGCCTGTATTGCGAGTCATTAATGTAACCATGTGGCAAGAGAATCTGCAGTTTCCTTGCCACTTGCGGTGACATTTACATAGGTAGGTCTGACCATCAGTTAGCTCAGAGGGTAGCTGAACATGTGCTGAGGTGGTTGGAACAACTGATGATGCAAAAAACGGAGTGAATCCGAGTATGAACCGGAGCACAGCATCATCTATCACCAAGCATCTCTTATCAACACGGCATCAGGGGAACGCGGAGACCGCGTTTAAGAGATAATCACCTGAAACTGAATGAACTACATCGCCTAGAATGCCGATGGAATCGCTTTTCTCTTCCGGTGTGCCAACCTCAGAACTCTACCGCAAAACTCATTGGTTTCCTCAGCCGCTTTGGATATTTTCAAACAACGACAAGATGTTGCCCATTGCCGCCAGCACTACGCTATCTAGACTGTGCTACTGTGCATTTATGTATCAGACGGACCTAAGGAAGAGGCTCATGTGTAGGCGGTTCTGTAGATGCCGACACACGTGGTGCCCTGACAACTGAGGCTTACAAAAGAACAAAGATTAACATTGCATTTCAACCTGATGAGGTCTCCTTCGAATAAAGCATAAAGCCGGATGCTTTTGAGTCACCATTGCTATCGCTTTATCAAGTCATTCGATTTCACTGACAATCAAAGAGCCATGTAAAATGCCATCAAACCTCTCGCATTGTATCATTTCCGAAAAGTGGCTGACTGATACTTTTACAATGTAGCTAAGTTAATGCACTCAACGCTGTCCGTCAATTGCTACTCTACTATAAAGTTTCCAGGGAACTGCATTGCTGCTAATAAAACAATGCGATTGCCAAATGCGTGTCGAGAATTCGCTGTCACACCCAATGTCTTGTGAGTGTAGCGTTTACCACTGTTGCAAAACGTAATCTCACTTGACTGTACGCTAGTCACTACGCAGATGCAAACATCTGTGGTATATGAACCATCAAATATTTTATCAGTAAGGACACCAGACTGTCGCTGAACAAGACCACTGATGCGAAACGCGTATAATGGTGGCGAACCGCAAAACGCACTTTTATTTGGGCCCGATAGAGTCAGATGACAGGCTTTCGGAGAAACTTCGCAGATCAGGTGATGGTACTTGCTGTGCTAAGGTGCTGATTGTACCAGCGGACTGGAATGTGACCTACGGTGTGTAGTACACAAGATGGCAGACGCCTACCAGTATCGACACATATGAACGCTTGGTTCTCTACTATTTGTGAACAATTTGTGGAGTAATTGTAGGAGCTGTTGTGAAGACAGCCAGAGGTGATTGCGGCATGGGCAATCAGGAATCAGTCAGTGAGTTAACTTTGTATCATTAATATTGATATTGATACTAATCGTTTATTTTCAACTCCCCACAAATACCCCTGTGAGCTGAATTAGCTTGTTGGTAGTATCATTCTCCATTCCATATTATTGGGCCTTTTTATGGCTTTTTGTATACAGTAGGTCGGATCTCCAGGGTTTACGAGGTAAGTATGCCCCAATAATCCACTTCACCGTGGCACTGCTCAATGCTCTAGTTAGGCTTAGAGCAGATGCTCAAAAGTGAATCAGCGTAGTGACCAGTCATGAGTACTAAATTTGTAAGAGCGGTATTTGTAGGCAACCACCGAAGTTTACTTTATGCTTAGCCCGACTGAGTAGAGGCTGCGCACCGCTTACTTAAGGCTACGTTCAGCAGGTTAATGGTGAGTTGCCACATCTGTATGACTTCGAGCTGGCTCACTATGAAGACTATTTCTTATTGCTTGCGTAGTCAGCACCTTCAAAACTCGAAACACCTTCAAGCAAGAATGTTGTACGAATGAAATGTGATTGTACAGAAACTGTATTGTTTTGGACACTTCAGATCACCGTCATGCTGTGATACACGGCAAGCGATTCGTAACGGGTACAAACCCTTGGAATTGTATTAAGCTACCTAATCTTGCCACACCAAGTCTGAAATGTGCCTTTTGGAAATGGGTATACTTTAGGGACAGCATCTTTTGTGACCAGCTTGGCCGAGTTAGCGAGAAATCGCTTAGAAAGTCATTGTTACTCTAGTGGGATACTACTGTGTCCTACCAGCCGCAAAATGGGGAGAAATAGGTACCCTAGTTTGCCTGTCTGACAAATGAGTCCCTTTAATCCACAAAAATGGGAGGTTTGCAATCGTTGGGACATTGTTTTAAGAGGAGGGCATAGATCGCCGAATGGCGAAGATTTGTCGGCGCTTATCGCAGTGAAATGATTAGGTCTGTCACTGCGTTGACTAATCCCCAAGATGGCCTTACGCAAATCTAACAGCTGGCATGGCCCATCGCGACGGTTTAGCATCTATCGCCAACCCAAAGCTCTATTGAGACCTGACCTGCAGGTAGCCTCCACAGCCTCATTGCGAAAATCATCATTGTTTAATAGTCGTACACACTGTCGTTTCTGTCAGAAATTCCCAAATGACCTGTTTATATGAATTAATTATTCACATCCTTACGGCATACACAGTGAGCCTGAGACCACCGTGCGAAGCGTGACCCACAATGGCACATCATTCCGTCTAACTCCCCTTTCCAATGCTTGTACAATATACTGTTTATGTCACTGTCAAGCACAACTTTTGTCCTCCTAGTAACAGCAAGTAGTTAACTAAGTCGTGAATACGGCATCTCGTTCGCCACTTACAGATGCATTGTTACCATTTTGTGTTCCCGATTCAGTTAGTTCATCTGAGCTAAGACATCACATACTGCAGTCTGCACTGTTGCAGCGACTAAGTGTCCGTCAACTTTCTTATTTTTTCCCCTCTACTGTGATGCTATGCACAGCCAGTGGGGGTGCGATTTCACCTGACTGTGCACATCATTTTGTGTCAATGGCAGTCTGTTTTCATACGCCATCAGATGACGCACAGATTGTGGTTTCCCGTGTTACTTTGCCACTTCATCTCAACCGATGATGTAGTTGAGGTGCAATGCAGTCGTCCCATGTGAAGATGAGAGCGCAGACGCTTGACTGGTGGTGGGTATTTCAGCTGCAGCTCTCTTCAGAAGAAATACGTTGAAATTCATTGAAGAAAACACTGACTAGGGCTCATGCACTAGTCAAGGCGTTGCTGGTTCACACATTCGTGATTCGGCCAGTTTCTACCGGGAACATTGCTGGGCATTTTGGCTTGGTAATGAGGGCCCAATACTTGTTTAACAGAGTGGACTATTTGTAGTATTATACAATCCTTTTACATCGCAATTTTAGCGTTCCTTTGTGGTTATTGCTGGGTTGCAAAAAATATACTTTTTCGCCGCATGTACTTTGTGGCGCTCTTCTTTAACACGTAATGAGCAGATATTCATCGTTGCTGGCAAAGGATAGCACGGATCATAATATGCTTCCCTATGTGTGCTCAGTTACTTTTCCTGGTGCTTCGCAAAACAATTTTCAAGGGAAACGAGATGATATCTACATTGTTTATATACATCAGAAAGGTGTAGGTTCAAGGATCGTCGAACATTCTCCATAACCCTAACTACAACAAATGCGCCCTCAAACCAAACTGTGGGAATCAACTATGAGCCTTGGCTTCCCAAATAACTACGATTTGTGTAGTATCTGTGGCCATTCGCTGTTTGTCTTCAATACGACGAGCCAAACCTCACTGCTTTTCCCCAACGACAGTCACAGGGAGTCGGGTAATGGCAGTTGCGGACTGGCAAATGCCGCGTGACAAGCTCATGAAAGCCAGGATGTTAGTCAGCATGGTGCATACATACGAACGTGGCAATCACAAAGCAATCTGTCTAACTCTGCCTACCCTTGTCCAAGTGATCAGCCATTCGACTGTGTCCATTGAAAGATACAGGCGTTCACCGCGTTCTACTTGCTTTCGGTGTCTCTCAACTAGAAACAAATGTGGACACAGTGAATCATTTTTCTATGTAACCAGAACCCGACTGCTGCTAGGAGGAAGATATAAAACCTGACCTTTTCTTACAAGCTGTCGATTTTTCGCTGCATGCCACCATACAAATCCTCAGATTTATCCATATGTATGCCAGAGTCTGACTATCCCGTCCCCAGCGGCAGTTTCGAATGGACGCGCGATCCTCATTGGCTCATAAGCTGCTGGTTTTGTGAATTGATGAACCTATGCCTCTACTCAAAGAACGAGTAGTTACTAAGAGGTCTGCACTCTGTTTTGCAGTTAAATTAACAGAGATACTGGTCGGCGATGCAGTTTTAGTTAAGAGAACCAGAATCGCGTAATTGAACTGTGACGACGCACCTTAAGTCCCAGCTTCCGGCCATGTTGTTGAAGTCCCAATGTAGCCTTGCACTTGAGTTATATAACTAGTAGATTAAGAGTAAGGCACGTAGTCGGTCGTTGCAGACATTTCAATTCATGGTTGAAATGGGCTAGGTTTACCTGAAAATAAGCCATAGGTCAAAATGAGGTTGAAAATATCCACACAACGCATATGGAAATTTACAGAAATCAAATGAGCCAGATGCTTCACACACAGCCGAGTGGTTCATTAGCAGTGGCACTACCTATCAGTCACGAAGTCTCCTGTTTCACTCGTAACCAGATCACTTTCAAGTGAGCAGTCAGAGCAATGATGAAACTGCATACGACACAAGCAACTCCCCCTTCGGCTCCTATCCGGGTGCTCCTAGCGACCGAGATTTACCTCGTAATACATGGTGATCCAAGGTGAGACTCAGCTCCGCAATCCAGCTATGCAGCGAGTATCACACTCATATGAAATGGAGCAATAGTTTCTGACAGTTAAAAATGTAATCATTTGACAATTCCCGTAGGAAGATTAGGGTGCAAAAGAACGGTGTTGATAAAAATATGGGTATGATACATGATTCACCGAAAGGTTGCAGTAGCACAAGGTGAATATTTCTGTCTAGAGTTTAAGGAGTCTTAAACAGTCCATTAGTTGCTATGCCTTAAGGCCTTCAATTGATGGCCAAGCGCAACCTCATGTGATCTAAATGTACAGAGCATCGTCAAGTCGCTTTTTGAATAGTGATAATTTGGGCGTTAATTATATGCGCTGCGAGAGTTTCAGGGGCGTAACACTCGGGGCGAGAAAACCTTTCTTCGACATTACAGCCGTCTATACTTTGTGGCTAGCATAAACGGACGAACCACCAGAGATGTGTTTGACTGCTTTTGAAATGACGGTGATAGGCGTGATTTTGGCTTTAGTATCTGATACATCGTTGAGGTCGCTCAGTAGGCGCCTATGATGCCTACGTACTCTTTGAGAGATTCCAGCCAGAGTTCCCAGTAGAGGTGGGCCAGACCTATGGGTTCTTCATCGCCCTGTATTGTGCGGCATCGAGCGAGATGAGGTGGTGCTTCAGCCAGGGTTGCAGCACCTGAATAGCGTATTCCACGGGTAGGCTCACGTACGCGCCAAATATTTGCGATAAGATTGAGGTGTCAGATCTTCAGAACGTCTTACACACTAGGTGGCAATGCTGATTTGCCTTTTTGCTACCTCTTCAGTCTGCCCCTGAAAACAATGTAATCACGCACGAGTACGCCGAGATGGCTCTCATGAGAAACTCGATGTAGGATTTATAACCCGAGCCAATAGTCGTGAATACTTTAATAGTGTATGCTCTGAACTTCACTCGTGGCAGTGTTGAATTGCAGCAAGTTCTCGGTGGATCAACTGTAAGCGTTATTCAGATCATTCGGCCAGGCTGCGTGCTCCTCTATTGTGGTGATGGCACGCCATATCTTATAAGTGTGAGTAACTAGTAGAAAATTTGAAGGCTTCACTCCTTGCAAGAGCATTTATTAAAGTACTAAATACAACTTTTTCTCAGTTAATTGCATCTGTAACGCTTTCAAACTCAGTCTTAAGAAACTAGGTTTCGTCCATAGACCTTAATCCTAAGGCAATCAAATCTCATCCACCTGGTGCGAGAGTACCAAAGCGCGCCCCTCATTGGATGACTAATCTCAAATTAACCAATGACATATCAGACTAGTTTACGTCATGAGTTACCAGAGATGTTTGGGGATGGCGAAGATCGCGTGCAACTTGGTGGGTGACCAGTCGCGCTCGAGACTCGTATTCAGGCATGATTCGCTACACTGAATCTACACACATGCTAAGGGTATATTCGAAAACCCACGTGGTGCCATCTGGGCATAGCAGTCAAGACTGGTCATGATGGTTGACACATAACTTTTCAGGCATTTCCACTTATACGTGAAATATGACTGTGCGGTTTGTCCGCCCATTTCATCACTAAGCTCTCCGTGAATGAGTGCGAATGAATTGGCCCTT